TCACACAGGTGCCATTTCCTTTGACAACCGGACCCCTTTGGTCGTCATTAGAGGTACACTTACTGCACAGCGGTACGTCGACGACATCCTAAGACCTGTTTTGCTACCATTCCTGTTGCAGATCCCTGGGCTGGTTTTTCAGCAGGACAATGCCAGACCACATACGGCACATGTTGCTATGAACTGTCTGAAAGCTTGTCAAACTCTTCCTTGGCCTGCCAGATCACCAGATCTCTCTCCCATCGAGCATGTCTGGGATATGATGGGAAGGCGATTGCATCTGGCACGGAATGTTGATGACCTCGTTCGACAATTGGATCGAATTTGGCAGGAAATACCGCAAGAGACCATCCGGGAGCTTTATCGGTCTATGCCACGCCGTGTGGCAGCTTGTATCCAGGCTAGAGGCGGGTCAACACCTTATTGAACTTGTTACTGTAACTCTGCAATAAATTATTCAATTGTTCTGAAATTTTAACCATTTACTATTCTGTACATTGTCTTCCTATCCACCAATTTTCGTTTCAATCGGACAACTCCTTCTTGGTGTGTCGATTTTTTTTGTTATAGAGTGTATTTACATAATAATTATTAAAACCCATCCGACGGCAAACATCAATTGAGGCAGTTTTTGCAAACCATGATTTGAAATGCTGTGGAGTTTCTCGGAGTCAAACCAGAAGAAAAAAAACTTTTCACCCACGGGTAACCAGTGATCGTAATAATGCAATCACAATTTTTTTCCCTTAATATCAATTTGGTACTTATTACCAAAATTCAGTTAGCATCATTGACTTCAATATTAATTGCAGATTTTTTACGCTGTCTAAAACGAAGTGGATAGCATTTCTCCTTTAATTTTTTCTTTAGTGCATAGCTTATTGTTTTACTTCAACTAGTAATTTACCAAAATTAATTATTATTAGCATTAATATTGGCGTTTTTTTACGTTTATTCAGCAACGAATTAAATATATTTTTCTTTTATCATTTCAAAACTTTTTATTTTATTTTAATTGCCGTCAAGTTTAAACGACTAGTATTATAAAAACACATTTTGAAAGCATATCTATAAAAACATTAACGCGTGGTTTCAGATTACCTTAGGAATAATAATTTGGTGATGTAGTTTGTTTATGCTACTAGGATCACGTTCATCATTCAGATAACCTGGCGTAACAAATAAAATATAATTAAGTATAACAGAAAGCGCAATAAACAACTTTTTTGATTAAAGATAAAGCTAACATTACTGGTGTTATCTTTAAAATATTTGTAAGAAAAAAAAAGCAATCGTCTATCGTTTATTTTAAAACACTGGCTCTAAGCCAATGAGAAAATTCCCTTTTTTAAATTTAAGAAAATTCCATTTTTTGAATTTAAAAAAATCGGGCTTCGTAATTTGTTTATAATTTTACTCATTGAGGCTCATTTTGAATCTCGTATTTTCGGAGCTTACGGTATAGCCGCAAACAGACACGCATAAGTTCTTCACTTTATTGTGTATATTGATTAGTTGTTGTCCAATCCGATAGCTTTTCGATACTAGATTAAGCAAAACACATTTTTAGTAGTTTATTCTATTAAATTAAAGATCTACTGTTATCCATATTATTTGGCATAATGCCGTTGGCAACTCGTGATATTTTATTTAAATTTTTCCACACTTAAGCTGCTTTCTCCTGTACTTATCCATCTGTATAATAAAAATGTGCAGCATTGGTGCCATCATAATCGGCACCAAATTTACTCTAAAATGAGTTGTACCAGTATAAGAGTATATTTGGTATCGATTAAAACTGCACCAATTACCATGATGCCAGTAGTGCTTATTATCAAAACTAAGCATCATTGGTGCTAACTATAGCATGACTAACAGTATTTCGTAATGAATCAGTAATTTTTTTTATTAATTTGCCTTTTAGTTCACAGCTTATTTTTTTTATTTCAATTGGCCCAATCATTGACATCATCATTGACATCAATAACAATTTACCCAATTTTTAATGTACGAATATATACCTTTTTTCGATTAGTTTCTCTTTTTATTACATGGCTTATTTTTTACTTCAAATTATAATTATTACCAAAATTAACTTGCAAAAAAACAATTTTTTCAATAGAGCTATACGTTAATAAACACCACTGGTGTTATCGTTAAAATATTTGACAAAACTCAATCGTCTATGGCTTATTTTGTAGCAATGGCTTCCGCTAAACCAATCAGAAAATTCGATTTCTTAAATCTCTCGGAATTTAAAAATCTGATTAAAATCGAAAATCGGGCTTCGTAAAAAGTTTGCAGTAGTCATTCTGATTCACGTTGTATTTCATATTCTTATAATCTACCGTTTACCCGCAATCAGGTATACAGACACACACACGTACACTTTTTATTTAACTATATGTATAGATTTACCCTTTAATGGTAACCCTTTAATGCTAGTAAAAGTGTATTAAAATATTCTTGCAATTGAAATTGATATAAGAATCGTATTTGATGTAAGGAAAAAAAAACTAATTTAGCTTATAAAAAATTAATCTAAATTTTAATACTTTTTTTTTTGTTTTTTTTTTTTTGGTGNGATTTTTTTTTTTTTGTGGTGGTGATTATGTTTACCACGACCCATTAGGAACTTATTTATAAAATAAATTTTATGAATGATGCAAACTTCAAAAGGCATTATGTATTTCATAACTTTTATACGTTTTCTTAAACTAACAAAAATGGTTGCCAAATTTATTCACACCCACTTCAATAAAGCTGAAGTTATTAACAGATATGAACCTAAATGAAAAGGGGTAAAAAAAGTTTACTATGGACATAAAAAAGTGGTGATAAATATACTTACCTCGGCCTTCCGAAAGGTTAAGACTTGGTTCTTATATCAGATAAATAGGAGACAGCCATCCGATTACTACCGAGAAGCAAGTCAAAATCCAAGTCCTGAGCGTCCACTTGGAAGTTTTTTTTGTAGAAAGTAGGCGTTACTCTCCATAATTAGCTTTCATCTTTCATATGAAATTACCTTCATATGAAATTAGTGATGATAAAGCAAACCACTACATAAATATTTCTAAAATTTTGTAGTTTAATTAAAACTGATACGTCACAGATTTCTTTCTACCCACTTTTCGGTCTTCCGGATAAAAGTTTTGTGATTTCCACAAGTTGGATTGATCGTAAAGAACGAGATTTCTTTTAAATTAAAATAATAATGTTCTCTCTCTCCGTTTTATAATTTTACCCTTCCAATCATGGTTGTGATGTTAAGTAGATTGGTTTCAGTGATCAAATAGAACAGAAAACAATCTGATGACTGTTGCTTGCCCTTCATTTAAAAGCATAACGGTCATGCAACCGGACCGGAAGTGGAACATAAGAAAGAATTGTTCTTGAGATGCATCGATTAAAGGGGTTGGTATAACAGGGACTATAATGCAACCATTGCTTGTATCTATATCCAAGGGGGTGACACAAGTGGCTAAATATGCAAAAAGTGGTAGAAACTGAAATCATTCTTAATTATTTAATTTCTCTTTATTATTCCACCATAACTATCACTTAGATTTCAAATTATTGATAATTAAAACAAAAGCATTCTCGTTTGACCCTCCTGATGATATAATCCGTGATAATTCGAATTACCGCCTTTTTATGCTCAGACTGCATAATATCAAAATACTATTAACTTTATCATACAACTTTACTCAAGGGGATCTCCCCATTCCAAAGATGATTTTCACTTCAAAACTAAAGATTTACTTCTTTAAGGACGTGATTTGTCGTTACAACATACTACAACTTCAAAGATATTTAGGACCTCCTAGAATACGACATAACAGAATCGATGAATCGGTTAGAGGCGCTTCGCGCCAAACGCCGAGATAACCCCAATATCCAGCATTTGACCCTTCGGATGTGCACGCATTATTAATGAGCAGGTGTGATGAAGTTCTCACAATTTCCTGCTTGGAGTTGGCATTCCCCTCTTAGTAATGGAATACTCTGAGATCCCAATTTATCTGAATAATTTAAATGATTTTATGCCGACACTTCATCACAATAGTGGGGAAAAAATTCTTTTTGATTGTAATCTAATCAATATTAATCCGGTGTAAGTTTTTTGTTTTACCTTAAGGTTTGTGTAGTCTTTTCTAATTTTCATTAACAACTAACCACTAATTTCACAACTAACTTCACTCAATTTTCACCACTTGGATTCAGCATCTATCACTTTAATCCGATGTATGTTTAAAATCCCACGGATGTTTTTTGCTTTACTTCAATAAGTAATTTACCAAAATTAATTTTTATTAGCATTAATATTGGTGTTGCGGGTTCGCATAGGTAATATTGGAAAGCGGGAAATAGTTTAGTTGTAATGGAATGGCAACAAAATATAAAATATTATAGAACAAACAATCGATAAGTTAACAAGAAAAACGATGTCTAAAATAGTTATTCTTTCTATGTTTCTTCCTATGTAAAATGTCCTCGTCATGTAAATAAATGTGCTCTTGTCTAAAACAACCTGTATCTTCTTCTTGTGAGTCGTAGTTCAATATTAGTATAAAATTCAAAGTTCGACTTCGCAACATTAAGTGGCGTCCGTGACAGGACAAAAGAAACGAAAGTAAGTGAAACTATCAGAATTTAATTAATATTTCACTTCATAAATGGAAGAATTAAAAAATAAAAGAAAGCCATTGCGCCAAGGATTTACTTTAACTGCCAATAATTTAGAAGCAGAGTTATCGAATACGGAAGTTAAAGTGGATCGCGTAAAGATTTTATTATCACAATTGACGAATAAATTCGAAAGATTAAACGATGTGCAAAATCAGATTTCTGAAAATTTATAAAAACTAGAAAATAATGATGATTATGAAAAAGATTTTGAAGCTAATGAAGAATATATTGACAGATATGTGTACTTAAAAGAAACTGTTAATCTTCGTTTGGCGAACAATGAACCAAGTTCACAAAATAGTGCGGAAATGAAGAGAAAATACAAGCTTCCAATGTTAGAACTACAGAAATTTAATGGAGAAATAAAAAATTGGCTCGGATTTTGGGGACAGTTCCGTAAAATACATGAGGACAACACCATCGATGATGATGATAAATTTCAATATTTGGTTCAAGCAATGGTTCCCGGGTCACCAGCAAAAGAACTGGTAGATAGTTTTCCACCGTCAGGCCAAAATTATCAAAAAGCAATTACTCAACTAAAATCGAGATTCGCAAGAGATGATCTGATGGTCGAAATCTATATTAGAGAATTGTTAAGATTAGTGTTGGCACAGGCTACAAAAAAAGGTCACATGCCATTGGCGACATTGTATGATAAATTGGAAACACAGTTACGAGCTCTGGAATCGCTTGGCGTTAAAAGTGATATTTATGCCGCCATGCTTTACCCATTAGTAGAATCAGCTCTTCCAGAGGATCTTTTGAAGGCGTGGGAGAGATCTCGATCATCCGGAGAAACAAATGCTAGCACAGAAAATCTTACAAAATTATTGAAATTTCTCAGAATTGAAGTTGAAAGTGAGGAACGCCTGCAAATAGCTCGTAGTGGATTCGGTAGCCAAGGAAGTTTTGATGTAGTTCCACCAACTGCCGCTTGTATATATTCTGGTGATTCAAGGAATAACACGAGTGATTTCAAAAAGCTTAAATGTATATGGTGTGACAAGGATTCACATAGCTCAGTGGAATGTTTCAAGTTGCACAATTTAAATTATAACGATAAAAAGACAGTTTTAAAAGAAAAAAGAGCATGTTTCCGTTGTTTGAAAATCGGCCATCCAGCACAACAATGCAAAAGTTCTGTTAAATGTTTAATTTGTAATAGAAGACATTTGACAGTAATGTGTTGGAACATAAAAAATGGTGAAAACCAAGGTCAAACAAAGTCAAGTACTAAAGGAAAAAATGATGAAAATAGCAGTAGTTCTAAAACTCTTGTTAATCAACAAAAGGGTGAAACGTTGATGCAAACACTGATAGTAAAAGTTGAGGGCATAGATAAAACAGATAGACTCGCAAGAGTTTTGATTGATTCCGGTTCCCAAAGGTCCTATATAAAAACAGAGGGGGTAAAAAAGCTAAATTTGCCAATAGTTGGAGAAGAAATTTTAAACCATGCATTGTTTGGCGGAATAGAAACTGGTCAGGAAAAACACAGTGTCTATGATGTCAATATAAAATCCCTAGATGGTCAATTCAAAATTACATGTCCAATGTTAGCCCAGACAAAGATATGCAATTTCGTACCGAGATTAAAGAATCAAAACATTTATCCCATTCTACAGCAAAAATCAATTAACTTATCAGACGTTGGGGACAATCCTTTAGAAATTAAAGTGTTATTAGGTGCGGATGTATTGCCTCAAATTCTCACGGGTAAAATTGAAAAATTGGATGAAAATATTATGGCTATTGAAACTCGGCTTGGGTGGACAATAATGGGTCAACAAAATGGAGAAGAAAAAACAAACACTACTTTAAGCTTATTCTGCCAACCCAGCATTGAAGACCTTTGGAGCTTGGAGACTATTGGAATACGAGATCCAGCCGAAGCTAAAGCAACAAAAATGAAGGTGAAGAAGAAGAGAAAGAGAAAGAAGGCTCAACTTGTACAGCGTGGTAAAGAATCAAATAACAATTTAAAAGAAGGAGACGTGGTGCTTATTGGCGATGATAATGTCAAAAGAATAAATTGGCCTTTAGCAGTTGTCTTAGAGTTATATCCCGGCAAAGATGGCATATCAAGAGCTGCGAAATTGAAAACAATCCATGGAGAGAAAATAAGACCCTTACCAAAGCTGTTTCCCTTGGAAATTTCGCCTGAAGAAACAGATTTTTACAAACCGAAATCAGCAGTCCCTATTTCCGAAGGAATACGGGAGAATATTACTCGTTATGGAAGAAAGATAAAAATACCAAATAAACTGGACTTGTGAACTATAAAACATTTTTACATTAGGACATTAAGAGTTAAAAATATTTTTATAATCAGAAATTGTTGTCTTAAAACAAAACAAAAAAAAATTAATTAAAAGTTTAAAATTTATTTGTTGGTGGGGAGGATGTTGCGGGTTCGCATAGGTAATATTGGAAAGCGGGAAATAGTTTAGTTGTAATGGAATGGCAACAAAATATAAAATATTATAGAACAAACAATCGATAAGTTAACAAGAAAAACGATGTCTAAAATAGTTATTCTTTCTATGTTTCTTCCTATGTAAAATGTCCTCGTCATGTAAATAAATGTGCTCTTGTCTAAAACAACCTGTATCTTCTTCTTGTGAGTCGTAGTTCAATATTAGTATAAAATTCAAAGTTCGACTTCGCAACAATTGGCGTTTTTTGCACTTATTCCGAAACAAATTACTTACATTTTTCATTTAATTTTACTTTTCATTTCAAAACTATTTTTTTAATTGCCGTCAAGTTTAAATTACTTAGTATTATAAAAAAACTTTTCAAAATCATATCTATAAAAGCGTGGTTTNCCAACTGCCGCTTGTATATATTCTGGTGATTCAAGAAATAACACAAGTGATTTCAAAAAGTTTAAATGTATATGGTGTGACAAGGATTCACAGGATTCAGTTAAGGTGTTCAAGGATTCAGTTAACCTGTTATATTTAATTTAAAAGAAAATAATTAAGTATTGCAGAACACGTAATAAACAACTTTTTTGATGAGAGCTATAAGCTAACAAACACCACTGGTGTTATCTTTAAAATATTTGACAAAACTCAATCGTCTATGTCTTATTCTGTAACAATGGCTTCCGCTAAGCCAATCAGAAAATTCCATTTCTTAAATGTCTACGAATTTAAGAATCAGATTAAAAATCAAAAATCGAGCTTCGTAAAAAGTTTGCTGTTGCACACATTGAGATTCACGTTGTATTTCATATTCTTCGAATCTACCGTTCAATCAGGTATACCCGCAAGCACAGGTATACAGCATACACTCCCTATTTTAATAAATTAAGACTTGGAGATCGTATATGAGATAAATAGACGAAAGACATCGGATTAATATCGAGAAACAAGAGAAGATATACGAGTCCTGCGTGTTTTTTTTTAGTACGAGTCCTGCGTGTCCACTGACAAATGTTTTGTAGAATGTGGGAGTTACTTTCCATAATAAACTTTTGCCCTCCATGTGAAATCAGTAATGATAAAGCACGCCATTATATAAGTATTTTTAAAACTTTAAATATTATTAAAACTTTTAATTCAACTGTTTCGTTTTCACAGTAATGTGAATACGGTGAGGCTTGCTATGGTTACAGATGGGAACTATTATTTTAAAAGACGAGTAGAAGTACAATAACCAAATATAACGAGAAAAAATTTTGATTTTGGAAAAGTACAGAACAAATAAAGTACCCATTTTAAGAGGAAACCAAACCATAAGTAAAAATTTTTGTGTATAAAAGGGAGTTTTAATTTTATTAATTTGAAAACTATCAAATCTTTAGAAATTTTGTTTTTACTTACGGAAACAGTAGTAATAAATTAAATTTTTGAACAAATTACATAAACATTATAACGTTCGTTTAAAGAAATGAATAAGTAAAGGAAAATTTGTATGCGTGTTCAGGAAACCCTATGAGATTTATTAAATTATCTTTCGTTTTCATAAACGTTAAAATATTTATTGTAAATAATGTAATTTAATAATAGTCAAGTTTTCAATTTGCGATATAGATAAGCCATAGTGAATGCACTCATAATCAAAAATTGAACACAAAAGTTTAATTTATGTACTTCCAATTACATGGTTAACAAACAATATGGCTAGTCAAACTTAAATAGGTACATAATATTTTTTAAAATAATATAAATTATCATGTATTATGTATATATAATAAAATATATATATAATATAATAATATGTAAAATAATATGTATATACGTAATCATATAGCGTGTTTGTCAATCGTTGCTTTTTGTGTAAGTCTTTAGAATCTTTATAAATTTACTGCATTATGAGAATCACTTTCAAAGTTACAAGCTATGCGATGTAATAATAAAAATTATGTTACCAAAATCTAACAAATAATTTTTTAACATCTTCGATAAGCAGCCTATCCAGCTAGTGAATTACAATATTCATTTTATTTTTGTTATTTTGGACAAATTTGGACGAAGAGCGAATCTCGAATTTTAAAACTCCTTAATCGAATTTTAAAAAAATCGTACATTTGAAATTCAATTTCCCAGGAACTATTCAACCGGTTTCGCTCAAATTTGGTATTTTGCCATGTAAGATTAGATGCTTCAAAAATAATGTAAAAATTTATATACTTTACAATTCAAAAGTTTAACGTCCGCTATTAAATAAAATAATGAAAAATAGTAAATATTTACTAAAATTTATTTTTCTGCGCGGAATTATTTTATGATAAACAGATTTTATAATTGTGTGGAAAGAAAATATTGCAATTCACTTAAGAAGTTCCCGAGATGTGGTGAAATACGTAAAAAATAAAATTAGCATTAGGGTGTCCAAACTTTGGATCACTCTCCTGATCAAACTATGAGGATCATATTTCTCAAATAGTTAGTACTTTAGGGATCAAAATTCGAATCGGTCGAAGAAATGTATGCTAATTTAGAGAAAGTACATTTTCGTTTCTGATTTCGTAACTTAGAATGTTGTTTGTTCTAATTAAAAAGCATATTTTAGATCACTCCCTCGAAGCATTAAGATGGAGTCTTAGAACGTGAAGATCCGATTATTAGATAAAAAGTTATTCAGGGTAGTTCGTTTTTTTTTTTTTTTTTGTCGCATTGTACCTCCTCAGCAATTTTTTTCTATCTGAACTAGACTTGTAGAACTAACCAAATTACATAAGGAAATGTATTAACAAATGTGAAATAATGTGTCCTTTTATGCTCTATTGTTTATTTTATTTAGCAATTTACATAAATGAATTAGTAACGAAATTTAAAAAAAATTAAAAAAAATATTTTCTTTTTTCAAATATCATGGAGTGCTAGAAGTGAAACGGAAAATAGAAAGATTTGATATTAAAATCATTTTATTTATAGCTGGTATTCAAGAGAATTAAAATAAGCCTTTATTTTTCTGAGTTATGATATATCCATCCTTATTTCAATTTCTCGGATTGATTGATTGATTGATATGAGTGGAATCTCGGTGTTAAGCGCAAAGCGCTTCTAACCGATTCATCTATACTGTTTAGGCATTTAGTCTAGAGGTCATATACAGTTCAAAGTTCTAAGTTAGGATCAGATAATAAGTCCATGATGAGGTGAGGCATGAGTTGATTCAGTAGTACATCAGTTGTATGGAAATTTCTCGGATTAAAAAAAAAGTTCTATATATCCGTTATAATAGTTAAAAAATTTTGGTAGTCATAAATATTTTAATCTTCCCTCCTCCCTAAATCTTCCTTCTTTCTTTAGGCACCTCCTAGGTGCATAAAGAAAGAAGGAAGATGACACTGGAAGGAGCGGAAAGTCACCGCTCCTTCGAGTGTCAGAAGGACAAAGAGTCTCCTCCTAAGTGCTGCAACTGCGGCAAAGCTCATACTGCTAATTTCTCTGGGTGCGAGGCCCACCCCAGCAGAAAGCCTTGAAGCCGTCCTAGTGTTCCTACAACAAAATCTTCAGCTCATCGACTAGTAACCATAGTGAAAGAACTTCAGGAACTTTTGCAGAATGAAGAAGTAGTTGCTCTTCTTCAAACCATCCTTCAGGGAAAGACCCCTGATCCTGATCTCTTGTGTTTCTCCATCCCACTCAAGTCTTCTCCAACCACCACTTCGACGCTACATTTACCTCTCCCTTCATATCTCGGAGTTTTGCTCCGAATTCAATTTCATACAAACTCAGATGAATGAGTTAGAGACCCTTCGGGGCCGATACTTAGATAAGCATTTCACATAAAGCATTAGCTTCCCAAAAACAAGTTCGAAGAAAATTATCTTCATATCAGTTTATGCTTTTTTCTACATATGTACTCGGCACCGAGCATGATATTTCATTTTTAAAATCAGTTGCAAATTTAGCTTGCCACGGACGACTAAAAATGCAAAAAGTTTTGACTGGTAAAATTGACAAATTTATATCAGATAATAAATTAGCAATATTATTATAACATGTTCTTTTTAGTTTACAATTGGGTATGTTAGTTAAGTATGATTTAATTTAAATAGTGATAGTTTGAAAAGTAAGTTATAGTGGTAGATACGATTGATTAATTAAACAGATAATAAATAAATCTTATACTATAATACGAGGAATGGTTGCCAAGTCGAAAATCGCCCCAGAATTAATAAACTCCAGTAAACTTGGGGGTCTGGGGTTTTTGGCCACGAGGAATCGATTGGCGCCGGTTTTGAAGCGCTACGGTCGAGCAGTTCGGAGTTACAGATAGGATATTTTCAAACTTTATTAGTTCGCCATAATGGCTATAGATACTTTTCTCCACTCTTATAAATGTATGCTAATGCGAACTTTACAATAAGGAAAAGCGACGGTGACAACTTAAACCAATAATATACGAAGGAATTAATAATTTAATTGTAAGGTTCGCATTAGTTTACATTTATCAAAGTGGAGAAAAGTTTAACTTTTGTGTTAAAATCACCGTCAACAAAGTCCGACATTTCAACATTCATCAGATTTCAAGCTACATTTTCAACATGCAGAACGCACCTCTACATGAAATTCTTCAAGGAGCCGGAATTTTGGAACAACAAGCGATCAACTCAATTCTACCCGCAAATGGACAACTAGAAGATACCGTCATTGTCAGAATGCTTCTCCATTACGCCGAACAAGCTTACCCGACCGTCAAAGTTGCCGTACTTCACCCTGAATTTGTCGCACGCTTCTACGTTACAACAGCGGATGGCGCTTATGAAGGAATGGCTCTTCTCAACGATATCAGCGACCAGAACAAGGCTTCCAAC